CCGATACTTTAAGAGCAAATACAATTGTATTCCAGAATGATGCCATCAATATTGTCTGAACAACTCGCTTGCCTTGTTGTTCCTTGCTCCATTTGCTATTTTTCCATTCATCAGAAGTAAACATCTTCCTCAAGTTATTCTTCTGACGATGTATGCTTGATAATGTTATGCAAGCTGTGGCAAAGCGAGTCTTAGCTGGCCTAACTAACTTCTTCTGATTCGTAAATTGCCTCATCATATTTAACAATCCTGGGCGAACATAAATAAAATTACTGATCTCCATGCCTCTTTTCAATGTGTTACGGATATTTGGGATCTTGAATATGTCCTCCAACATCAAGTCCAAGCAATGAGCAGCACATGGTGACCAAAATAAATTTGGTCGTTTTGCTTCTAATGATCTCCCTAGTAACAAAATAAAACAAGAAGATAACATATTATATTAGTTAGCCTACTTGAAATGTTTAACTTAACATAATACTAATTTGAAGAGGAGCAAGGAATTTGATTTCTTACCCGCCATTACATTTGCTGAAGTACTATCAGTAACGACATGTGCGACATTGGCTTCTCCAATGTGCTCGATAAAATCATCGAGTAACTCAAACATTTTCTTTCCATTCTTGACATAAGATGAAGCATCAATGGACTCAATAAATATTGTGCCTTTAGGACTATTAACTAAAAAGTTAATTAATGTCCTCTCTCTCCTATCGGTCCATCCATCGGCCATGATAGTACATCCAACCTTGGCCCACTCTTCCTTGTGACTCTTCATCAATTCATGTGTTGCTTCKAACTCTTTTTTCAACAACGGCACTCTAWGCTCATMATAAGATGRTATTTTTAGTCYAGGGCCGAATTGTCCTATTGCTTCAACCATAGGCRCAAAGCTTTCGTAATTGCAAGYATTCAAAGGAATAYCGGAATCATAAAACCACCGCACTATTCTTTGTACTGTGCGCTCCCTCATTTCCTTTTTGTAAGCTTCATTGAGTGTCGTTTGTTTGCCTTTCTCATTCTTTCGATTCAGAACTACTGACTCTGGATTAGGAGTAAAAAATGCATCAATCGAACCCTTCTGTCTTGGCTTCTTAGGGTCTAAACTTGGCCTTTGACTAGAAGGTCTCTTACTCGAACTAGTTAGGACCAAATCATCCTCATCCTCATCATCCATACCGAAATCTTCGTCATCAATATCAGGTATAAGATTTCTTTGTTCCTTGATCTCCTTTTTTTTGGACATGTGCTCCTTAATTTCTTCCTTCACATGGTCCGGACATATCTTGCATGATGTTGTATTTCTATAACCTCCAACAAGATGTTGTTTCACCCTATAAACGCCTCCTTTTGTTATTTTTGAACAAAAACTACAAATAAATGTAGTCATATCTTGGGGATTTGCCAAAGTAGCATACTTCTATGCCGGATCTTTTCTTGAGCCTTCGTTAGACATCCTAAATTTTAATCGATAGTTAAAAATAAATGAAATTCTAGTGCTGTTTTAGGGAAAGAAAATGAGACAAAAAAAAAGAGAAAGAGAAAGAGTTTACTGTTCACAGTCCAAGTAAATTTGAAGAGGAGATAAAGTTGCTTGGTTGAGGGCTCGGATCAATATAATATGTTTGAAAGTTGGACTATTGAAGAATTAAGAAATCAAAATAGAAATTTAGAACCTAGAAGGAAAGAGATGATTGTTATGTACTTCTGTTGAAGAAAAAAATCAGAAATACAGAGAGACAAGTCACAAGAATAGAAACAGAGAAAAAGAGAGCTTACTGTTACTGCTTACAAATGATGAAACAAAGAGGGAGAGAAGCTGAGAGTCAAGATCGCTTACAAAAGATGAAAGTTGAAACAAAGAGGGATAGATGCAGAAAGTCCAATTGTGGAAATTTAAAAGACTAGAGAAATGCAAAGAGAGAGTCGAAATTGAATGGGAAAAGAGGAAGGAATACGAAAAAATTGTGACTGTTGAACTTTGTTCGTGCATGGGAAGGAATACGAATAGCCAATAGGAAAAGATTAAGATGATAATGACGTGGAAGGAAAAAATAAATCTATTGAGATTCTTTCCATTATTAAAAAAAATAATCTCAAAAGTCAAATAGACGTGGGGTGCGGCTGTATTGTTTCAATTCTGTTTAAAAAAAACCAGACCCTAGACACAGAAACCCTTGCATTTAGGGTCTATTGATTAAATTTTTTTTTTTTTAAATAAAAGCCCATGAAGCCCGTGCTTCATGGGCTTCGACATTTCATATGAGGCGCGCGAAAAGTGCGCGCCTCATTCAGATCGATTTTTCAATCATGGTTTTCAACAATTTTTCAAATGAAAATCAATTGAATCGTAAAATTTGCAATACAGCTAAAAATTATCGGACTTATCTAAATGTAAGGTGCAAATTGATACACATTGTCAAGTTCAATATTTTTTCATTATGTCTATTCTATTTGTGCCCCTAACCTAAAATTCTGGATTTGCCACTCGCAGTACGCGATGCATAATTTACTCTATTTTTCTCTTCCACAGTCCCAACCAAAGAAACATAAAATTCATGAATTTAAGCAAGACTTGAATTGAGTGGAAAGACATAAATCATCTGCTATTTTTATGATTTTCTCTAAATTTTAATATTTTGTGACCTAATAAATATTTAATTTTCAAGACTTTACTTAAAAATGAAGATAGAACTTAAAACCATATGAGCAGATATATACCTCTCCAGGTGGGTTTCAATCTCATGAACGGTTTATCAAGATAGATGCCCATGACATGGAAGCTAAGCTCCATGTCAGCGGAAAAAAAATAATAAATAAATATAACTTTAAAAAAACGGAATATATTTAAGTCGGTATTTATATTATTATATAGGGAAAATACACTTTTGATTATGAGATTTAGAGTAGATATTTATTTGGTTCTTGAAGTTTCGAACACTTCTAGTCCTTGAAGTTTGGAGCATGTATCTATTTGGTCCTTTAGTTTCAAAATAGACACTTTTGATTTTAAAGTTTGAGAAATTATTCTAAATAATCCCTAAACTCTTTTGATCGTGTGGTTTTCTCCCATTCCCTCTTCTAGTTCTCTTCTTCTCTCATTATCTTTTCTCCTATCTCCGACCAACCTTCCCTAGCACTGCCAACAGTTTCCATCCTTGCTACTCCTGGTCGTTGCTGCACTATCTCAGTCAAATAAAAAACAAAAAAATAAAATCAAAACTTCATCGCAAATTAGCTTATAAAATTTTGGCTATTTTAGAGCCAAAAGCCCCCCTCCTCTCTGCCCCTAAACCAACACCTTTCGAGTTTCAACTCTAGAAAAAAAAAAACAAAATATACCCCAAAAAGACTCCATTTTCTATTATTCATTTCTATATTTTAGAAAACACAAAACAAAATCAAATTCTAAGTTTTTTTTCAGTACAAAAATGGAGATTTCTCTATAAATGACGAGGTGGAGCTATTTTTATGTGATCTATATTGAGGGTAGAATCTGAAATTTCTTGATTTTGGTCTCTTTGAACGCCTGTATTCATATTTAATTTTTCTGGGTTTCTACGTAGCAGATTATTTGGATCTGTTCTTTGGGTTTGTGGCAAATGTTTCAGAGATTTGGTTTCATTTTTTCAATTCAGGGGGTTTGGAGAGAAGATAAATGTGTGGGAGACAATGCGGCAAAGACGAGCGGTGCCAAGAGAAGATTGGTCGGAGATGGGAGAAGAGAACGAGAGAGAAGGAGATTAGGAAAACCCACGTTGGTCAAAAAGAGTTTTGGATCATTTAGAATAATTTTTCAAACTTTAAAGATAGGGATTTTTTTTTAAATAATATTTTTATTTAAACTTATTTTTAAAACAATGTTCCATTAAATAAAATTAAAGAAAAAATATATATTTTAAAACTTATTCCAAAAATAATGTTTTTGAAATTAGTCCCTCACTTAGTCCTTAGATGTTGTTCAAGAGACGACTATAAGGATGTGGAGCTTTATTGACGCTACATCTGTTTTTTTTTAAATCAACACATGGTTTGTTGGACCGTACCTCTTCGTCCTTTCTTCAAGGGACGATTTGGATATTTGAAAAAAAATAAATATTATTATATATTATATATTAAAAAGTAGATATCATCGAAATGAATCAACTAGTGGTGCGGTGGTTGATTGTGAGGTGTTCAATCTCCAATGCTTCGATTTCGAAGCTCCTTAAAGGTAAGTTTTTGTTTTTTTTAAGGCTCGCACCCTTGCAATCAATTTTTGCACCAACATCCACGGCAGATTAACTAAAATAGAATCTACTTTTAAATATATAATATATAATAATATATAATTTTTTTTAATAAAATCCAGTCATCCCTTGAAGGAAGGATCGAGGTGTCGTCCAACACATGGTCGTCTCTTGTCTTGATTTTTTTAAAAAATAAAGGTGGCACCAATAAAATGCCACATCCCTATTGGTCGTCTCTAAAAATGACATTATTTTTGGAATAAATTTCAAAATATGCATTTTTTCTTTAATTTTATTAATACAGTATTATTTTAAAAATAAGTTTAAATAAAAACATTATTTATAAAAAAATCCGTACATCTATTCTAAATCTCGGGGACCGAAAAGTGTATTTTTCCCATTTGAAGTTTGCGAGTTTCCATTTAGGACATTAGGCCATCTTCGTTGCTAAGAAAATCATATTTGATCGTATCAGATTCGGACTCTCTGCAACAGATTTTTCCTCTAAGCTGTTGGAGATGGCGAGTGAGACCGAGCCGGCGAAGCTTCTTCTGCCCTACCTTCAGCGAGCGGACGAATTGCAGAAGCACGAGCCTCTTGTCGCATATTACTGTAATTCTCTCTCTCTCCACACCTTCATCTTTGCCAGTTTTTAGCTTTAAATTCATCATCCGCGCCTTTTTGTTTCGAGTTCTTGATTAATTGGGCGTTTTCCATTTTAAGGTCGGTTATATGCTATGGAACGCGGGCTTAAGATTCCACAGGGCGAACGTACAAAGACCACAAATGCCCTTCTTGTTTCCCTCATGAATCAGCTTGAAAAGGTTCTGGTCTTACTACTTTTCTTAGTCTAATTTTGGTTCGGTGGATTAGATGGATATTTTGATGCCGAATATTGGAAGATAGAAGAACTGGACTATTGCTTATATTGGATTTTTGTTTGAAAGTTTGGTATTTCATCTGAATGGAATAGGTAGCGCTGAATCAGGGGCCGCCGATCGAGGCAACTTGGGGTTTGTGCAAAAGTTAATATTAGGCCTTCTAATATAATTGCGTACAATTTTATTTTTCTCTGTCTTCTCATCTGTGAATTTATTTGCATCTATTTTAGTTATATAACCAAGGAAGTTGATGTAGGGATTTATTAGATACAGTTATAAAGTTCAGGATTTATTAGAATTTTTTCGAAGTATATGGACTAAACAGCACAACCATGAATGTTTATAAACTTATTAGAATCTTATTAAAAGCATAGTGACCAGACACGATTCTCAGAGTTCGAAAACCACACTTGCAATTTATCTTAAAAAAAAAAAGAATCTTGACCTTATTGCTATTATCAGACCAGTTCCTTTTCAAATCTCTCATTTATGATTACAAATTCCTCCAAGAGAATGTGACTAAGATGGCTTACAAGCACATCTATTCTAAGTAAGGCTTGTTCTTTCCATATACCCTCATTCTTGGTAGAATAACACTTTTGACAAAGATGCAAGGTGGAAAGCCTACTGCTTGTTTTTTCTGGTGGTCTTTGTGTGAAACATTGCGATTTGGATCAACTTTTTATTCGTGGCTCGTTCTCTGAGCAGCTTTGGTTCTCTCATAAGAAACACGATCACTTTAATTTGGGACATGTGTCCTGTCTGACATTATTGGACACTGTGACACTCCGACACTTATTAAAACAATAGGTGTGTGTAAGACACTAATTTTTCAAAGTGAATATAAGTCTTAACACTTTTTTGTTAGACTTAAATAGTCAATATCGGACAAAAACCATAGGTCTGTGTCTCATGTTCATATTTGTGCTTCTTACTTCTATCTTTTTCAAGTTTTTGGATATTCTTATAGTTTCCTAGGACTTTATTGGGTGCTTGAAAAAGAGAGCAAGGACCTTATTCTGTGATGTAAGCTAGCCGTTGGGAAATTTGGTTGCAAAGGAATTGAATATAAATTTTCTTATCTTCTGCAAAATTTTCCATTGTTTAAATGGCAAACCCAGGGGCAAATCCTAGCTTCTTTGAGATATTTGCCAAGGAGACCCTCCCTTTCCTTTTCTCTTTACTATTATGGTGGATTGCCTAGGTGGGCTTCTTTCCCTTTGGACGTCCGTCTTTAAATCGTTTTGTAATTATTAGTTAGACCTTATTCTTTTTGACTTGGAGTACTGTTGGAATATATAAACATCTATTAGTTGTCTTTTTAAATCTTTATATTTTTTAAAATCTCCTATTCCTTTATGTGGTAGGTTTCCTATTCTTTTTAGTAGGTCTTTCTCTTATATAAGAAGACCTAAGTTGCACTATTTGAATACAGAAGAATATTTTTTATTCTCTTAAATTTAACAAGTACTTTTCTGCACAGTTAGGTTTTGGACTCTTGTTGTGGGGCTAATTTTTCTTTTTTGTATGCCCTTGTATTTCTTTCATGTTTCTTAATGACAGTTTGGCTTTTCATAAAAAAAATAAAATAAAGAGTCTTCTTTAAGCTTGGTAAAAGGTTTCAATGTAGTAGGGCACTCTCTGTCCATTAAGCAATTGCTACTCGTGGATGATACCATTATTTTTACCTCTCTTGATGAGGAAAATATTGACAATCTTTCCAAAATCGTCATGATCATCAAGGAGGCTATGGGAATCTATCAATTATGGAAAATTAGAGTTAGTTGGCATCAGTTGTCAACAACACAACTTTGCTATTGATCTTGGTTGCAAATTAAGCAATTGATCCATCTCTTATTTAAGGCTTCCCCTCAATTTGACACCCTGGATCTTTCTCCCTTTGGGCTCTTACTAATGAAAGAATTGGCTACAAGCTTCAAAAAAGCGAACTCTTTATCTCTCTCAAGGAGGTTGTACCTCTCTCATTCAAGCGACTCTTTCTTTTTTTTATAAAATCCTACAAAATTTAGGCTTTCCAACAGTAGACTTCATAAACTAAGAGTTATTTAACTTCGTGAATGGACATCCACAGAGAAATTACTCCATCCTTGCATTTGAGATTTCACATTGAAAGAGATGCCCTTTGGATTTTGGAGAAAATGTATTGCAAAATTTGGCTCCACCAGAAAACCTCTTCTCATGTTCTTGGACCAAGTCAATGTGTCCTTTGTACTAGCGATGCTGACGATTTAAATCATCTTTTGTGGCTATGTCCCTTTTATATTGAAGTTTGGAGGTATTTTTGGCAGGAGTTTTGTTTAGTCTTTTTCAGTGTTCTATCTTCCAAGAAGCTGTTGTTGATCATACCAGGGGATCGGTTGGATTCTTTGGCAGGCTGGATTCTTGGCTATTTTGTGGTATATGGCTGGAAAAGAATAGGAGAGTGTTACTCAGAAGAGAGTTATTGGGAGGATGTTTGGAATGTGGGTTTTTTAAATACTTCTCTTTGGACTCAATTTTAATTATTTTGGTAACAAAGAGTCGGGAGCCATTTTTTGTAATTGTCTTGCGGGGTGTTCCCCTTGCTTCAGTCGGACCTCTCTTTTACAGTTTTCCTTGTATTTTTTATTTCATTTTAATGAAAGTTTGTTTTCTATAAAATTATAAAAAGAAAAAAAGGGAGTATGGTCTATGGTGGGGGGTACCTCTTCTCCCCCAAAGGCCCCGTGGGTTTTGGCAATGCCACTACTAGCTTCTGGATTGATTATTGGTTTGGTAATGACATCCTTCCGAAGGCCTACCTGAGGCTTTTCTCTCTCCCAACTCAGAAAGAGACCATCGTCAGGAGTCCCTCCTCTCAATATTCAAATCTTGCTCTTAGAAGGAGTGGACGTTCTTGAATGAGCTTCTCTCCCAGTTTGCTCTCTAACTTTCATTTGGCTCTCTTCTGGACTATTGGACGTGGATGATTAACAAATCAGCGTTTTCTCTTGGAAATCGCTATTTTTTGTCCAAATTAATAAAAAGAATGCCATGGAGCCTAATCTTTACATTTGGCAATCATAAAGTCTTTTGGGAGCTTGCTCATGAGAGCATTAATACTCATGATAAGCTTCAAAGAAGGCCTACAAATAGCGCTCTCTCCATATGCCGATGCTCCTTGTGCAACAAAGGTGCCGAGTCTCACTTTCCACGCTTGTTTTGTTGATAATTTCTGGAGCCGTATCTTTCCTATTGTCAGTTGGCAGTTTGGCTAGCTCCCTCAAGATAAACTCCTTCCTCTCCTTCCTGCTTTGAAGGTCATTCCTCCAAAAAGGAGAGGAAGGTTCCGCAGTTGCAGCTTATTAAATCCCTTATTTAGTTACTTTGGCTTAAGGTACAATAGAGCCTTTTTTTTTTTTTAAGATAAGAGACAAATGATATATTCAACAAAGACTCCAACAACGAAGGGAACACAACCTAGCAGTGGGGGTAAAGGAACCCCTGCCAAGAGAACTAAACCAAGAAAGCCTTCAACAAAAAAGAAAATCCGTTTAGCAACATTTTAGATTTTCTTATTTTTGTGGTCCTCACTTGTATTAACTTATGTTCCTTTTAGCTCTTACAAGTTAAGTTTTCTTTGTGCCATTTGGAAGAGCTTTGTGTAATCTTCTACGGCTTAGGGCTTGAATTTTCTCCCTCCCTTTTGTAATTTTATTTATTCAATGAACTTGGTTTCTTGTTACCGAAAAAAAAAAAAGAAAAGAAAGAATAAGACCTTTGATTAGAACATTGAGAAATATGGACCTTGCTTGAGTTCATTCAACACGTTGCAGTTCTTTATCTAATCTCCCTTTGGCCCCCCTCCCCCCTTCGTCTTTCCTGGAGTACTACAATTCCCCTTTTTGTTTCTACCAATTGAAGAGCTTTTCTATCAGTTGGTTTAGGGCTTTCGTGTATTCCTCATCACGCAGACTTAAGTTTTCTCTTTTGGAAGATAGACATGTTCTACCTTGTTCAGTTACTTTATACATTAGGTTGGTAATATCTTCTTACTGATATGATATCCATCTATCCTTTTCAGGATAAGAAGTCACTCAACCTGGGGCCTGATGATAGTCTGCATCTAGAGGGATTTGCACTAAATGTCTTTGCAAAGGCAGACAAGCAAGATCATGCTGGACGAGCTGATTTGTATGGCAATGATTTTCTTTCATATTAAAATATATATTATTATCTTGAAACTTGATAACTTTGGCCTTGTCTTGGAAAACTGTTTTTAAAAACTATAACTACATTGGATGACTTTTAATGGTTAATGTTATTGTTCACATAGAAATCACAATTCATAAACTCTTAATTTTAAGAGAAAGAACAACTTCATTTATTCTAAAAATTAGTTATCTAGAAAAGCACACTAAAGAAAAGTAAGAAAAATAATTATGCAAACATAAAAATAGAAAACCGTTATGAAAATGGTTTCTAAATAAGTCTTTTATTTTATTTTTTATTCCAAGCAGCTAAAATTTTATCACGTGTGGAATGTGCAGATCATATCTCCAGGTTACCTGCGTTTGATATATGCAGTTTGCACCACAAAAATGAATCTTCATTTTCAAAATTTACCAAAATCTGTTTCTGGATGGCTGTTGATTGAGCTTAAGCATCATGTTTATTTTTCCATAACTTTCTCTAAATCCATATAAGATGCATGCTTACATCATAACTTCGTTGAAGTTTTTCGTGTTTGATATCTTTGTGGAAGTGTCAAAAAATGTCTTCGGAGCGATTTGGATACTAGTACGATTTATGGTTTTACTCATTAAGTTATCATAGGAGTCATTACTTTTTCATATTATCTGTGTGTTTTTGGCGTTAATTGGATTAAAACCTCATACTTTATAGTGTTTTGACTTCCTGACCGCTTTAGGAATTTATACACAGGAATACTGCAAAAACATTTTATGCTGCAAGCATTTTCTTTGAGATTATTTCCCAGTTTGGTCCCCTTCAACCAGATGTGAGTTTATTTGTTGATTGACTGTATTTTTTGTGTCTGAATTGGATCTTTGCTTAATTTTTATTTTAAAATTTCCATTTATAGCTCGAGCAGAAACGGAAATATTCGGTCTGGAAAGCAGCCGACATCAGGAAGGCTTTGAAAGAGGGAAGGAAGCCACAGCCTGGTCCACCTTCTGGTGATGAAGATCTGTCTGTTCCTTCAAGTACCCCAACCAGTGCAAATGTATGGTTTGATGCCTAACTCTAGTTTTATCTCTTGAGATACTGAAACGAAACTTATATTGATGGATAATAGCTATAGCTAATAAACAATTAGGGTATAATTTTTACTAAAAAAAAAAGAAAACAATAGGGTATAATTACTTTTTTGGTCCCGAGGTATGACCAATAGTTCCATTTAGTCCCCAGATTTCAAAACCCAGTACTTTCGTCCCTAAGGTTTAGGAAATACTTCATTTTAGTCATTTGATTGTTGGTTGACATAGCAAAAAATGGTACAGCATATTTTATATTAAACGGAGCTGATGTGGAAGTTCTTTAAAAAATGAGGGAAAAAAACTCTCCTCTAACCCATCCTGATGACTGAGAGGAGGAAGAGGTTTTATTTTATTTTTTAAAAAATACCACATCAGCTATTTTATTATAAAATATGCCATCTCATTCTTTTGTTACGTTCGCTAATGTTGAAAGGACTGAAATGGAGTTGGGGACAAAAGTTTAAGATTTAAAAACCTAAGGACTAGATGGACATATTACCCAAACCTCATGGGCCAATAAGGTAATTTACCCTAAATAATAAAACACAAAAAAGGGCAATACATTTGTTAAATTTAGTTCTCTCTATATTTGAAAAAACTTGAACTAATCAGGAAGTTCTCTTCTCCAGCCATTTTCTTTGCTCCTTAGCTTGAATCTGGTTCCCATGATATTAAAATTGTTGATCGTCTGGAGCTCATAGAATAGTCCTTTGGCGTCTTCTGGAATATTCTCTATTAATTTTCTGCTGAAGTATCTTGCATTTGCAAACAAATTTCAGATAGATTTTGAGACTTCTAAATATATTCTATGATGTTTTGTCTTTATAGGACCTGAGGGAGTCCGTAGTCTCGAGAACCCAATCGGAATCAGATTCGTTACCTCAGGTTTACGATAAGGTCAACGATGAACATGCAAATATCCCACAAACTCCTCAGTTCTATGATAAAATGAACAACCACTCTTCTTTAAACTCGTCTCCGCCTGCCCGATTCCATAACGAAGTCGACAATCAGTACCCTTCAAATATTCAATCATACCCCACATCTGGTTATCCATCCCATGATTTTCATCCACCTCCAAGGAATGAACCAGACAATTCCTCTTACTCTCAGCCATACCACCACATCCAATCCTACCCACAAGAGCATCAACAACAGCCTTTGGCTCATAATTTTCCTCCTAATGAAACTTCCCCAACTTACAACTATGCCCATTTCCAATCTTATCCAAGCTTCTCAGAAAGCAGCCTCCCGGCCGCCCCTTCTCACTACCCGACGGCCTATTACCAAGGATCCGATGCTTCCTACTCTCCTCAAGTGACTCCTCCTGCCAGCTACCCATCACCTTCCCAGTATCATTCAAATGGCCGAGATGGAACGGCCTTGGAACCTCAACCTAACACCATGCCTGCCAAGTCGTACCATTACGACAGCAGCTACGAGCCACCTCCAGAGAAGATCGCTGAGGCACACAAGGCTGCGAGGTTTGCAGTAGGGGCTCTGGCGTTTGATGATGTTTCAGTTGCAGTAGATCACTTGAAGAAATCGCTGGAGTTGTTGACTAACCCTTCGGCAAATGTGTGATATTCTGCTTTTGTGCTGGACTGAAACTGATGTGAATTTGTTTCTGCAGGTTTGAATGTGTAAATTTCGTTAGATTTGTGGCCCCATAAAAAGAAATCTCTTGGTTGAAAATCTTATTGAGAAAGTTTCTTGATGTTTGTTCTTACTGTTCCTTCCACCATATCTTTCATTTTTTTAGTTCTGAGAAATATTTGTTCTAGAATATTTGGCTCTTAGGTTATTAAGTTATAGAAAGTTGAATTTACGGGCATGTTTGGTATGTCATTTGGATTCTATTTTCCATCTTTTCAGATTTTAGATTTAGAATTTTAAAAGGTAGAATTACATTAAAAAGGATCATTTACTCCAGGGAATGAACTCTCTTTTTCTTTAAAATAGGTAAAATATAATACATTATAAATTATATAATATTATAAAATAATAACTATACAAAATTTATAATATATATGGTAATAAATTAATTAATACATCTTAAATTGAACAAAATATATAGTTGGCACTAGTTTTCAAATTACTAAACAATAATTGAATAATTTTTAAAATTGAGATTTAATTTTTAAAATTTGCTTCCGAAAACAATGAATATATGTGAACAAAATAGTTTTAAGTTTTAGATTATTTCAAGGAGATAACAATCATCTATCAACATTCATGGACATACTTTTGCAAAAAAAAATTAAGTAAAATAAAATCCTTTGCAAAAAAACACTCATGGACATAAAAGAGATGTTTTAAAGAGATGAATTATGAAGTATCTATTATCTTCAAGAAAAATGGAAAAAACTAATAATTAACCGTGTAGTTTCATCGAGCTCCTGTTGTGATGAATATAAAACTGCTGAATTATTGTCACATTAAATTTTCAATGGTCTTTCAATACTCAATTATCTTTAGTGCTGTGATAAAATTTCTAAGCCATATTTCATGATTCGATGCCTCATAACACGCCACAAACTCTGCTGCCCTGGCTATAAGTGATTGCTTGACACTTTTCTATGAAATGGCTCTTCTTGCCGTCATGTAGATATACCCAGATGTGGACTGCTTGCTGTCTTGGCATCCAGCAAAATCAGAGTCAGAAAAGCCAAAGATCTCTATACTATCTGATCTCCGATATGTGAGCATGTGATCTTTAGTTCTTTGCAAATATCTCATAACCCTCTTGATTGCTTTCCAGTGTTGCATACCCGGATTACTCAGATATCTGCTTAGCATTCCTACTATAAAGGCTATATCAGGTAGGATGCAAACTTGAGCGTATATTAGACTCCCTACAGCCGATGCATAGGGAATCTTTTGCATCTCACTCCTTTCATGATCACTTTTAGGACTTTGATTCAAACTGAATTTGTCTCATTTAGCTACGGGTGTATCTCCTAGTAGACATCCATTCATGCCATACCTACTCAATACTTTATCAATGTAACTCTTTTGTGATAACCCTAAGATACCTTGAAAACGATCTTGCAGTATTTTTATACCCAAGACAAAAGAGGCATTGCCAAGATCTTTCATCTCAAAATGCTCTGTCAGAAAGTTTTTGGTTTCCTGTAGTAGGTTTAAATCACAGCAAGCTAATAAGATGTCATCTACATATAATACTAGGAAGATATATTTACTCCCACTATTTTTACGATACACACATTCATTAACTACATTAGCCTCAAAACCAAAAGAAGTAATGATATTATGAAATTTGTGGTACCATTGACGGGAAGCTTGCTTAAGTCCATAGATGAATTTCTTTAGTCTGCAAACCATTGACTTTGGATTTCCTGATTCAAAGTTTTCTGGTTGCTCCATGTAAATGGTTTCAACAATATCTCCATTGAGAAAAGCCGTCTTAATATCCATCTGATGTAACTCTAAGTCAAAATGTGCTACCAGTGCCATAATAATTCTAAAAGAGTCTTTCGAGGAAATTGGAGAGAAAGTCTCTTTATAATCTATGCCTTCCTTTTGAGTGAAACTTTTTGCGACAAGACGTGCTTTATATCTTTCAATGTTGCCTTTTGAATTCCTTTTGGTTTTAAATATCCATTTACAACCAATAGGTTTCTTTCCTGCAGGCAACTCAACTAGATCCCAAACGCCATTGTCACTCATGGATTTCATTTCATCTTGCATAGGCTCAATCCACTTATCTGCCTTAGAACTTTTCATTGCCTGTTGAAAATTGATAGATACATTTTCTGTAAGGCCAATGCTATCCTCATGTTCTTAAAGAAATACAATATAATCGTCCAGTATTGCACTTCCTCTTTCTCTAGTGGATCTTCTTAATGACACTTCTTGAGTATGTTGAGGTTGATCTATAGGGTAGAGTGATGTGTCCTTAGTGTTGTCTTGAAAGGTAATGACATCAAGTGTTGGAACTTCATCTTGAGTGTCATTATCTAAAATTACTTTACTAACAATGGTAGGTAAGGTAACCACGTCATTCCTAATAGTAGCATTTTCTTCTTTAAAGACAATATCTCTACTTTTATTTCTCCCCTCAAACTCAATATTCTCAAGAAATCGAGCATTTCCTGTCTTGAAAAAATTTCCTGAAGTGGGATTATAGAACTTGAAGCCCCGAGAGCGCTCAGCATACCCAACAAAGTAGCAACTTATGGTTCTTGAGTCTAGTTTCTTTTCATTTGGCCTATAAGGCCTTACTTCCACTGGACATCCCCAAATGTGTAAATGCCTTAGGCTGGGTCTTTTTCCTATCCACAGCTCATATGAGGTTTTATTTACTGCTTTGCTAGGCACTCTGTTAAGTATGTATACTATAGTTTTTAATGCTTCTCCCCAAAGAGACTCTAGCAAAGAAGAATGAGCAATCATAATTCTTACCATATCTTTAAGAGTCCTATTTCGCCTCTCAGCAACTCCATTCATGCCAGGTTTCCCAGGCATCATGTACTGAGGAACTATGCCACATTGTTCATGGAAAAGCACAAAGGGTCTTGGACGTTGTTCACCTGATCCATCATATCGACCATAATATTCTCCTCCACGGTCAGATCTGATGGTTTTAATTTTCCAGTCAAGTTGAAGTTCAACTTTTACTTTAAAAAATTTGAACATGTCCAGAGCTTGAGATTTCTCATCAATTAAATATATTTAGCAGTATCTTGAATAGTCGCCGATGAATGTGATAAAATACTGTTGTCCATTCCATGAAGCGGTATTGAATGGTCCACATATGTCAGTATGTATCAGTTCTAGGACTTCGCTCTTTCAACACCTATATTTCTCTTGTTTGATTCTTTTCCTTTGATACAATTAACACAAACCTAAAGATCTGTTAGGTCAAGTGAATCAAGAATTCTTTCATCCACGAGTCTTTTAATTCTAGTGTTAGAGATATGTCCTAATCGTTTGTGTCATAATGTATCAGAATTTTCATTTAATTTTCGCTTTGTACCGCGTGATGAAACATGCAAGATTTCATTATCAAAAGGAACATTATCAAGCATATATAAATTTATCAATCAATGAACCAGTATCAATAACATTTGAATTATGCAAAAGACTTAGCTTTTTATTTCTAAATGAACAATAATAATCAAATTTGTCCAATGAAGAAATAGAAATTAAATTCCGTCTAAATGACGGAACAACAAAAGTCTCGAACAAATCCAAATGAAAACCAGTTCCTAAAGTAATATAAATGTTCCTATTGCTTCTACTTTTGCCCTATTGTCGTCAGCCACGTAGATGAAAGCCTCAGCATCACTTGGCGGTCGGCTCCAAATGCAACCCTGCATAGATTTACTTATGTGAGTAGAAGCACCTGAATCTACCCACCACGTATGCATAGGTACAGAAGCTAGATTAATCTAAGAACAAAAAAGGGAGAGAAACATATCCTTCTTCAATAACCAAGCAGAATATTTGGCACATTGCTTTTTCATGTGCCCAGTCTTCTTGCAGAAGAAACAAGCGGGTCCTCTTTTCCTTTTTCTACTTATAAGATTCTGCAGCATCATTCATTCTCTTTCTCTTTACACTCTTTGAGGTGGAAGCCATGTGAACACTTTCTGTCTTCTCTCACTGCATCCCCTCTTCCTCTTGAACACAATGAGAGATTAACTCATTCAGGGACCATTTGTCCTTCTGAGTATTGTAACTCACCCTGAAGTGGCTATACTCTGCTGGAAGAGAGTTCAAAACCAAATGCACTAAAAAGTCTTCCGAAACTTCCAACTTCAGTGCTTTAAGTTTTGTTGCAACATTTGACGTTTGCATTATGTATTCCTTGATGTTTCCTTTACCAACGTATCTTGAAGAGATGAGTTTTGTCATAAGGGTACCCGCCTCTGCCTTATCGTTTTTTGTAAAGTACTACTCCATTTCCTTTAGAAAATCTTTGGCATTCGTTCCCTCAACAATAGAGCCTCTAAACGTTTCTGGAATTGAGCGCTTCATGATCATTACACACATGCGATTAGACCTATCCCACTTCTCAATTCAACCTTATTAGGATTTTCCTCAGTTGAAGTAGGACAGTCTACCATTAATGCAAGGTCTAAATCCATACACCCAAGTACTATCTGGATGTCTTCTTTCCAGTCCTTAAAATTAGCCCCATTCAGTGTAGGAATGTTGACTTGAGTGGACATATTATCAGAATTACCAAACTTAACTGTATAAAGAACACAAGCTCAATATAGTAAGTAATGTCACATAGATATATATAAATATTCATGACATTCTAAATAAACTTTATGAGGACAAATGAGATACCTAATGCAATATTTACATTCAGTCTTTGGACAAAAAATGTTAATTTGCTAGTGATACTCTCAGTACAATAATAAAACATTAATAACTCATTCCTTTTGTATGATAGCATTCCTTTGGGCTAACTAACAACTTCAAGGACACAACCTTATGTTATCCATATTTATTATTGCATGTGTGTTTGTTGTTTGGCTAAATTGCAACCTTCCTTTGGGCCAATCACAATCCGCATAAGCAACAAATACACTACATCTAAGAACTTTAAATGTTCCAATTTATAAAATAGAGACTACTTTGGTAGCGTATTTCACGCATCAAAACATTCAAAAAAATTAGATAAATTGTGCTACCAATAAATGAAATATAAATTTATTGACCATGGCAGTCAACCTTAATTAGCACAATTTAAAAGGGAAAAATAAACAGTTCTCCCTACCTTTTATGCCCAAAATATTTATAACAGATTATAAATATATAAAATACTTATCAAAAATTAAATTACAAAATAAATAAA